CCCCCCCCCCAGTATAAGACGCCCCCAGGCTTTGAAGAGGCAAATTTTAAAAAAGACAAAGGTTTTTGCACTCTGCAAACTCCCCCAAAATGGCACGAATAGCCTTTAGGGGGCTTGCAGAGTCCTCCTGGGGGAGCAAAATTGAGCAAAAAACGGCCCCTTTTTCACTCCTTTCTGCCCTCCCCAGGAGCTCCGAAGAAGGCCGCCTACGGGGTCTGCAGGGCCCTTTTGGTGAAAGGGGGGGGGGGCGAGACTTTGGGAGGCAAAAAAAAATGCTGTATTCAGTGTATAAGACACACCCAGATTTTCAGCCTCTTTTTCGAGGGAAAAAGATGCGTCTTATACTCCGAAAAATACGCTATTTAGCATCCTGGTACGGCATGCCAGTTTGACAGCCGCGAATAGAAAGACACAACAGAGGGTTGGTGAGGCCAGCACAAAACATGCCCTCTGACACCCCTGGATGAGATCGCATGGGCTCCCTGCCTTAGGAGGGGGAGGAAAACCCTCAGAGACGGCTTCTTTACCCTCCCACCGTGGGGAAGGAGATGTAGAAGCATAGCCAGCCAGGCAAACAGGCTGAAGAAGAGTCTCCATCCGTGGGCTGTCGGACTCCTGAATGCGAAATAACGTCATAACTACGTAGTACGATGGACTTGCAGGGCCAACGCAACATGTAACATGTTCACACGGGTTTAATGGGACCGGGTGTTTGTTAATATGATTTATTGGGTTAGGGATTTTCTGTCTTCACTGTCATGATGATGATGATGGTTTATTTGTCAGTGCACAGCACATGTGCAATAAGATTGGTTGAGCTCCCTCAGTGCACACACAGGCCCCCAACACAATACACAGTGAAGACAGAAAATCCCTAACCCAATAAATCATATTAACACACACGCAGTCCTACTGTGTGAACATGTTACACATTACACCGGCCCTGCAAGTCCATCGTCCTGTGAGTTGTATTGCGTTGGGAGGGATGCACTGAGGGAGCTCAACCAATCTCATTGTACATATGTTGTGCACTGAGAAATAAATACTGCATTTTTTGGAGTATAAGATGCACCTTTTTACTCCAAAAAAAAGGGGGTGAAAATCTGGGTGCGTCTTATACTCCGCATGTAGCCGCCTAGGTCGTCTGGAAAAGGGCCAGGTGAAGCCGGCGCTGCAGAGATTGTGATGGCCGGAAAGGAGAGGCGTTCCGCTTACGGGGCTCCCGCTCGGCTCCCAGGAGGGCTCTGGCGGTGGCGCCTCACATTGCTGGGGAGTGAAGTCATTGTGGCCATTGTCTCCCCTGAGCTGCCCACCAAATCTCTGAGGCACCTT